TATTTTAACTCAGTTAAATGGGGGTAAGAACTCATTAGAAGAATAGGCTACTAAACAAGGTATGATGAAACCTGAAGAAATAGCTCTGGATTCATATAAACATACATACTCCTCTGTGTTTTCCTACTTTAACTTAAAAAGTTGCAAATTATGCAGCTTTACATTTTTATGGAGAATTGGTTCTACTTTTGAGCTTTAGCACTTCAAAATAAAACCTTAACTTTGAGTCAAACTGTTAGTTTTTCTTTTTGTGTCAAGAGTTAACTTTGTTGTTTTAAAACTAAGTAAAATCCATTTACTCATTCCAAAACAGGCATTAAAAAGAAAAACCCCAAATGCTTTCTTATATCCATTTTAAGAGTAGGATTGCCCTGACCGGTTTTGCTCAGTGGATAGAGCATCGGCCTGCGGACTCAAGAGTCCCGGGTTCAATTCCAGTCAAGGGCATGTACCTTGGTTGCGGGCACATCCCCAGTGGAGAGTGTGCAGGAGGCAGCTGATCGATGTTTCTCTCTCATCGATGTTTCTAACTCTCTATTCCTCTCTGTAAAAATATCAATAAAACATATTTTTTAAAAAAGAGTAGGATAGGTGCTTTCTGCTATTACCTGAGTCCTGATCTATCACCCCAGGGAGAACTTGCTAATCCTCCAATTCCAGGGGTGGCATGAGAAAGGATTTCTGAGCTGGCTGGTAAAGGCTGCAGTGGGGTTAAGGATAAGACTTCTTGGGCCTACCTCTTCCCATGCCTCTACATTTACCTTTCCTTCCTCAGACAACCATGTGCAGGTTTTACTTACAAATAGAAGAGCTGTTGATACCTCACAGAACAGCCCGTGTTTGGAGCATAGCCTTAAGCATGGATTCGTATAAATTCTTTCGCTAAGATCCTGAATTTCCCATGTTTTACACCTAGTTATATCATTAAACTTCGCTCCTTAGCTTCCTTCTTGTTTTCTGCACGTGCTTCACTTCACTAGAGCATCCTTTCACCTGACAACTGCAGTTCCCCCGAACTCAGGCCCTGCATTGGGCGCCACATGAGCCGAGCCAGCTCAGCCAAGGGTTCGAGAGCCTGAGTGAGGGCGGTGAGGAATGAAGAGATGACAGACAGAGAGAATAAGCTGGGTCTAGGTGAATCTTCCTGTGCTTGGCTGAGGCCACAGAGAGAGATCCAGAGGCAAGCTGAGCCTTTACTTTACAGCCAGAGGTAAACAAGGTAGTGGTCACCATAGTTAGAATGTTCTTGTGAGTTTCACTTGTTTTGGAAGCACTTGCTGCACCTCCCACAACCCATTAGCTACTCAGGTAAGATCTAGGGAGTGTGGTAAGGTCAAGCCTAATTATGTGAAGAGGACTGTGCCCTCTAAGCTGGGACTTGTTTGTGGCTTTGCCAACAGGTTAGTCTGAGGCTTAACCCTATAGCCGCACCCTACACCCCTGTGAAAGGGTCGTTTGACCCTCAAAGGGGTCAGGACCCACAGGTTGAGAACCGCTGCTTTTAATATATATATATATATATATATATATATATATATATATATATACACATATATATATATATATATAATCGATTTCTCACATAGAGGAAAATAGCGGAATAGAGAGAAACATCGATGAGAGAGAAACATTGATCAGCTGCCTCCTGCACACCCCCCACTGGGGATGTGCCCGCAACCAAGGTACATGCCCTTGACGGGAATCGAACCTGGGACTCTTGAGTCCACAGGCCAATGCTCTATCCACTGAGCCAAACTGGTCAGGGCTGAGAACTGCTGCTTTAAGGGATCTCACTCAACCTGCAACTGGGGCAGCAATGAGCAGCGATAGCTCATCCCAGGCGAACCCCCTGAACTGATGCTCAAGGCCTTCTTTTCTCTGATCTCCCAGTGAGCTAACAGCAGGCCCCTTATGCTCATTTAATTCCCACAATGTTTCTAGGAGCCAAAGGAGCCCAACCTCATCTCTCTGCTGTTCCTTGTTCTATCCTAAGCCCCAGTTTTTCTTCATTATGCCCAGCTTTAATAAATATTCCCTCAAAATCTCTGAACTGGTGTTGTAAAATATTTTGTGCATGAAGTCAAGAACTCAAACACTATAATGCCAAGCTGAGGCAGGCCAGCTCCAGGCTGGTTCCTATTTCCTAAAAGTTATGCCTGGGACATCCTGTATAAAGACAGAACAAGGCATGATTTTGCTCACAAGACTTGGAAGAAAACCTGATGACCCACACTCACTTTGCCTCTGTTGAGTCAACTCAGTCTTAACACTATTCATTTTTTAAATGTCTTTATTGACTTTTTGAGAGAAAGAGGGAGGAAGAAATATCAATGATGAGAGAGAGTCATTGACCAGCTGCCTCCAGCACTCCCTCTACTGGGATGGAACCCCCAACCTGGGCATGTGTGTTGACCTGGAATCAAACCAGCGATATCTTGGTTCATGGGTCTACACCCAAACATAGAGCCACACTTACTGTGCACATTAATCTTTTTTATTGTTCACTCTATTACAGATGTTCCCAATTTCCCCCTTTTTCTCCCTCTACCCTGCCCCCACTGCTTCTAGGCCCACACCACATTATTGTATATGTCCATGGGCTGTGCATATATGTATATACATTTAAAATATTTTTTATTGATTTTAGAGAGTGGAAGGGAAAGGGAGAGATGAAAAAATCAATGTGAGAGAAAATCACTGATTAGTTGCCTCCTGCATGACTCTACCCCCACACTGGGAATTAAGCCTGCAACACATGTATGTGCCCTGACTAGGAAAAGAACCAGTATCACATGACCTCATCATTCGTGGAATATAATGAACAGCATAAATTGATGAACAAAAATAGATTCAGAGACATAGAAGCCTCGAACAGACCAACACACTTCAGAGGGAAGGCAGGGAGTTGGAGGGGTGGGTTAGAGATCAACCAAAGGACTTGTGTGCATGCATATAAGCAGTACCAATGTACAGAGACTCTAGGGAGGTTAGGGCATGTGCTGGGGAGTGGGAGTGGCCAGGGAGAAGCCAATGGAAGATGAAGGAGACAAATGTAGTAATATATGTAATATTTCAAACAATAAATAATTTTTTAAAAGCTTATCTAATAAAAGAGAAACATGCAAATTGACCGTACCTCCACTACACTCAGAAGCCACGCCAATCAGGAGCGAGTATGCAAATAAACCCAACCAAGATGGTGGTGTCCATAGAGCTGGAGCGAACAGGAGACTTGGGTTACCTCTGGCAATGGAGGAAGCCAAGCTTCCCACCTTCCCTGGATGGCTGTGGGCTCCCCTCAAGGCTACAACGTTTCAATTATAGAAGATAAATAAATCCCAGATACCTGCTTCCAGCCGCTGTGGCCTCCACTCAAGGAAGGTCTGGGAGCCTGGATTTCCCGGGGCCGTGGCCAGCCTGCAAGCAGCCATCAGCCCCTCCTCAATGCTGGCCAGGCACCCCAGTGGGACCCCCCATCCTGAATGGGGTATTGCCAGCCTGAAAAGAGCCCTCATCCCCTCACCCAGGCTGGCCAGGCACCCCAGTGGTCACCCACCCCTGAAGGGGGTGTGGCCAGCCTGCAAACAACCATCAGCCCATCACCAAGGCTGGCCACACCCTCATGGGGTAACGGTCCCGACTGGGAGACTTGGCCAGACTGCAAACAGCCATCAGCCCCTTACCCAGGCTGGCCACACTCCCTCCAGTGGGGACCCTCACCCTATGGGGGCGTGGCCAGCCTGAAAACCACCACAGGCCCCTCGCAAAGGCCACCCCACACCCCAAGGGAATCCCCACCCTGATCTAGGACACCCTTCAGGGCAAACCAGCAGGACCCCGCCCATGCACCAGGCCTCTATCTGTACTAATAAAAGAGTAATATGCCAATTAGACTGGGAGACCTTCCAGGAGACCTTCCGGACATTCTTCTGGACAAAGCCATGGTGGCAGGGCCGAGGTAGAGGCGGTTAGAGGCCAAGAGGGGAGGGCACTTGTGGGTGATCAGGCTGGTGGGGGGGCTGGGCCGTTAGGGGGTAAGCAGACCAGCAGGGGGCCCAGTTGGGGCAAGCAGGCCATCAGTGGGGGTCAGTTGGAGGTGATCAGGACAGCGGTGGGGGGCAGTTTGAAGTGAGCAGGCCAGCAGGGGTGCAGTTGAGGGCGAGCAGGCCAGTGGCGAGGGAAGGTGGGGGCAAGCAGGCCTGCAGGGGGGCAGTTGGGGGTCATCAGGCTGGCGTGGGGGAATTTGGGGGCAAGCAGGCTAGTGGTGGGGGCAGTTGGGGGCAAGCAGACCGGCAAGCAGAGTGGTTAGGGGCAATCAGGCAGGCAGGCAGGAAGGTGAGCGGTTAGGAGCCAGCAGTCCTGGATTGCGAGAGGGATGTCCACCTGCCGGTTTAGGCATGATCCCTGTAAACTGGCAGTAGGACATCCTTTTAGGGTCCCAAATTAGAGAGGGTGCAGGCCGGGTTAAGGAACACCCCCTCCCCCTGCACAAATTTCATGCACCGGGCCACCAACAAATATATATATAAAACACACACACACACACACACACACACACACACACAAAAGAACCATGGCCTCTTGATTCATAGCTTGAGGCTCAACCATTGAGGCACACCAGCTGGGATATATTATTTCAATTTTTTTTAAGTACATGTATTTTTTATTGTTTTTAGTATGACAGATGTCTCCCAATTAGACCCTTTGTATACATTCTTTGTTAGATCCCTTGCATTCCTCCCCACCCTCTTCACCTTGGAGATGCCTCAGTCTATTCCAGTTAGCCAGGCCTCTGGTCTCCTCTTGTCCCTCCCCAGATGTCACTTGCTCTGCCACAACACCTTTATTCTCCAAGTTATTGGCGGGGATGCTAGTAGTCGCCTGGGCGGTGGAGAAAACTACATTACCCAGGAGGAAATGCGCCGGTGTAGGCGGAGCTAAAGGGCATTTTGGTGTCTGTACATCCGGTTAGGGCGGGACTTCCGCCTTCCTCCTCGCGGTGGCCATTTTACTTTTAGGTCTTTTTTCACAGACTCCCAGGCTTCAGGGCGCTGGTCGTGAGGAGGAGGAGGCCTGGGAGGCAGCGCGCCTGCTGTGCGGGTTGTGTCTGAGGCTCCTTGAGCCCAACAGCCCGAGATGGGCGTCCCTGTGCCTCCCGGACTCCTCTCTGCGCACAGCGTCCCCGCAGCCTGACCCCATTTCACCCTCCAGCCTTGGGGACCGGCCTCTCAGGTCCCGCCGCCCAGAATGGTGAGTCCCTCGTGGGTGACACATGGCTGATGGGGGAAGAGGGTGAAAGGCTGCAGTGCCGCCTTGTAAGGACGTGATGGTGCGACTGCGCAGGGAGGACTCGGGAACCCGGGCCTGTTGTGGGTGTAAAGGCAACACAGAGAGGAGGGGAGGTTTTTCAGGAGGAGCTTTACTTTCACTCTCAGGACGCTGGGGCCATAGATGGTTGTGAAAACAGAGGGACATTTTCTGAGGCAGGATTCTAACTTTTCCTAACATTGCTCAGAGGACGGACAGACTAGAACACAGAGGAGAGCAGCTGTGGACATACTTTAAAGGTTAATGCACCTGAGCATATGTCCTGACTAGGAATCCATCAGTGACCCGCAGGGTTATAGGTTAACACTCAACCACTGATCCACACCAGCTGGGCTTTCCTAAGATTTTCAGGGATCCCACTCACCTGTAACCAGGGTAGCAACTAGCAGTGGCAGCTCATCCTGGGCTAACCCCCTGAATCTGCACTCAAGACCTCCTATTCTCTGAATGCCCAGTGAGCTAACAGCATCCTCACAATGTTTCTAGAGAGTCAAAGGAGCCACACCTAATCTCTCTGCTGTGGCTTGTTCTATCATAAGGCCTATTTTTTCTTTCCTTATCCCCAGCTTTAATTAATGTACCCTCAAAGTCTTCTGAACTCATGTTGTGAAATCTTTTCTAACATGAAGTAATGAACTCAAAAACTGCAGACCAAGCTGAGGCAGACCCACTGCAGGCTGCTTCCTGTTCCCAAACACAGTTATGCCTGGGACATCTTCTATAAAGACAGATCAAGGCATGATTTTGCTCAGAGGACTGGGAACAAAATATGATGCCCTCATTCACCTCAGTGTTGTTGAGTCAAATCAATCTTAACACTCTTCTTTTTTTTATTGATTTTTTTTTTAGAGAGAGAGGGAGAAACATCAATGATGAGAGAATCATTGATCCGCTGCCTCATGTGTGCCTCCTGCAGGGATGGAGCCCCCAACCTGGTCATGTGCCCTGTCCTGGAATCGAACCAGAGATACCTTGGTTCATGGGTCCACGCCCAACCACTAAGCCATGCCATGTGGGCAAACTATCTTTATTTTTATTGATTCTATTACAAATAGTCCCAATTTCCTCCATCCTCATCCCCCTTTGCTTACCTCTATGCTGCCCCCACCATTTCTCGGCCCTCACCACATTATTGTCTATGTCCATGGACTATGCATATATGTATATACTTTTTTTAAAAATATATTTTATTGACTTTTTTACAGAGAGGAAGGGAGAGAGATAGAGAGTTAGAAACATCGAACAGCTGCCTCCTGCACATCTCCCACTGTGGATGTGCCGGCAATCAAGGCACATGCCCTTGACCGGAATTGAAACCGGGACCTTTCAGTCTGCAGGATGACGCTCTATCCACTGAGCCAAACCGGTTTTGGCTATATGTATATACTTTTAAAAATATATATTTTTTAATATTAGAAGAAAGGAGAGGGAGAGATAAATACATCAATGATGAGAGAGAATCACGGATTTGCTGCCTTCTACATGTCCTTATCCCCACCGAACTGAGAATTGAACCTACAACCCATGTATGTTCCCAGACGAGGAATAGATCCATGACCTCATGGATCATAGGTCAGTGCTCAACCATTGAGTAACACCAGGTGGGCTATATTATTTAAAATAAAATATATTTTTTTATCATTGATAGTATTACAGATGTCTCCCATTTTTGCCTGTGCCTATATTCCTTGGGGGATCTCTCCCAGTTCTCCCCAAAACCCTCTCCCTGGGAGATCTGCCCCTCTGTTCCAGCTCACCAGGCCTCTAGTCCCATCTTGTCCTTCTCCAGGGCCACTTGTTGAACCACATTACCTTTATTCACCAATATCATTGGCTGGGATGCTAGCCCTCCCCTTGGCTTTTGGGAAAACAACATTACCCAGGAGGAGTGTGCCAACATGGGTGGAGCTAAGGGGCAATTTTAGTGTCAGTGCATTTGCTTAGGGCAGGACTTAACCTTCCTCCTCCTGGCAGGCATTTTGACCCCTTCAGTTTCTTCAAGGACTCACAGGCTTCAGCCCACTGGTCGTCAGTAGGAGGAGGCCTAGGAGGCAGCGTCCTTGCTGTGCAGTGGTGTGTCTGAGACTTTCTGTGTACCAACAGGCCAGGATTGGAGCCTCCGTGTCTCCCAGACTCCTCTCTGCTCACAGCTTTCTCTCAGCCTGACCCCATTTAACCCTCCAGCCTTGGGTACTGGCACCTCTCAGTTACTGCAGCCCAGGAAGCCACATCCAGAACAGTGAGTCTCTCCTGGGTGACACAGGGTGTGATGGGGGAAAGAGGGCCAGAGGCTACAGTGCCAACTTCTAAGGACAAGGTAATGGGGCTGAGCTGGGAAGATTAGGAAAACCCAGGCCTGTTTTCAGTGTAAAGGGAACAAACAAAGAGATGAGGTGTGGTTTTGCACAAGTTTTACTTTCATTATCAGAATGCTGGGGCCATAGAGGGTTTGAAAAAAGGAGGGACATTATCTGAGGTAGGGTTCTAACTTTTCCTAAAATTGCTCAGAGGAAGAACAGACTAGAAGACAGAGGACAGCAGCTGTGGACAGGAAGGGGAAGTCCTGTAAATGATAAGGTAACTGGTAAGAGTGTGCACTGAGGACTGAGCTGAGAGATAATAGAGGCATCTGGAGGGCACCTGGCCTCTGGGCTGGGCAAGGGTACTGAGCATCCTGGGCCCATAGTTCCTGGGAGTGATTGCCAGGCTCTCAACAGACGATTTTCTTTCCAAGAATTCCTGCAGATGCAGAATGAATTAGGTATACTGATTCGTGACGATTATTTCAGGGCTTCACACTTGTGCTTTCTGCGAGAGTAGTGTCCTGGGACTGTCAGCTGCTCTTATAGCCCATGGACCTGGGTATAACAGACACTAATCCCAGACTCCTAAGGCCACAACTAGGACTTCGTGAAGTGAACCTTCTTCCTGGAAACCAGTGTAATGAGTTGGAGGTTGTCCAGGGCAGTGGTCGCCAATGATTTTTCCTTGGACCACTGGTGGTCTATGAGGTCGGGAAGCTTTGCTGACGACTGGTTTATGGAAACTTTTAGAGCAGTGGTCCCCAACTGGTGGTACATGCACCATTGGTGCTCTGTGAGGTCCAAAAGGTTGGTGGCCGCTTCTCCAGGGCATAGGTTCCAGCACGTGAAAAGGCTTTTTGGGCGGAGTGAGCTGATTCAGGAACCAGTAGGTATCTTTATTAAATATATACAACCCAGGCATGTGACCGCACCAGTGCATGGGTCTCTACTCAATCAACTGACACACATAAGCCAGGGCTGTAGATTACTTTAATACAGTGAATTATGGTCAGGTTGGTAATGGTAGTAGTAGCTCAGAAGGGACAGTGTGAGCCTGAGAACTGGCTTTCCTGCTGGGGCCACTGTTTGTGGGAGGTGGGTGTCACAACACAGCAGAGGGAGAGAAGTTGTCACGTAGAGTTTGGGGATAGGTAATCATTTTGCAGTGGTCAAGGCCTTTAAAAGATGAGTGGACCTGAGATTACCTGGAGGCTAAAGAATTATTCAACCACTAGAGGCCCGGTGCACAAAAATTTGTGCACTTGGGGGGCGGGGGGAGGAGGACCCCCAGCGCGGCCTGTGCCCTCTCGCAGTCTGGGACCCCTCGGGAGATAACGACCTGCTGGCTTAGGCCTGCTCCCGGGTGGCAGAGGGCAGGCCCAATCCCTAGGTGCAGCCCCTGGTCAGGCTCAGAGCAGGGCCTATTGGGGAGTTGGGGCGCCGCCCCGTCATGCACAGAGAAGGGCGGATCGGGAGGTTGCGATGCCACCCTCAGTCACGCTCAGGGTAGGGCCGATTTGGGGGTTGGGGCACTGCCCCCTGTCACACTCAAGGCAGGGTCGATGGGGAGGTTGCGGTGCCACCCCCTGTCACGCAGAGAGCAGGGCCGATCAGGGGGTTGGGGCGCTGCCCCCTGTCATGCACAGAGCAGGGCCCATCAGGGGGGTTGGGGCTCCGTACCCTGTCACACACACAGCAGGGTCGATCAGGGGGTTGGGGAGCTCCCCACTGTCACGCACAGAGCAGGGCCGATCAGGGGTTTTGGAGCTCCCCCATGTCACTCACAGAGTAGGGCCGATAGGGGAGTTGGGGCACTGTCCCTTGTCACACACAGAGCAGGGCGGATCAGGGGGTTGGGGCGCTGCACCCTGTCACACTCAGGGCAGGGCCAATGGGGAGGTTATGGCTCTACCCTGTCACACACAGAGCAAGGCCCGTGGAGGGGGATTGGGGCGCCACCCTCTATCACCCACAGAGCAGGGCCGATCAGGGGGTTGGGGCGCCGCCACTGTCACACTCGAGGCAGGACCGATGGAGAGGTTATGGCTCTACACTGTCACACACAGAGCAGGGCCCGTGGGGGGTGGGGGGGGGTTGGGGTGCCTCACCCTGTCACACACAGAGCAGGGCCGATCAGGGGGTTGGTGTGCTGCACCCTGTCAAACACAGAGCCGCAGGGCAATCAAGGGATTGGGGAGCTCCCCCCTATCAGGCACAGAGCAGAGCTTATCAGGGGGTTGGGGCTCCTTCCCCTGTCACGAACAGAGCAGGGCAGATAGGGAGGTTGTGGCTCCGCCCCCTGTCACACACAGAGCCGCAGGGCGATCAGGGGGTTTGGGCGCTGGCCCCTGTCACGCTGATCCCAGTGCCTGGAGCCTCCCTGCTCCGCTGATCCCGGTGCCGGGAGGCATATTACCCTTTTACTATATAGAATAGAGGCCTGGTGCATGGGTGGGGGCTGGCTGGTTTGCCCTGAAAGGTGTCCTGGATCAGGGTGGGGGTCCCCACTGGGGTGCCTGGCCAGTCTGGGTGAGGGGCTGAGGGCTGTTTTCCCGCTGGCGAGTGACTAAAGCTTCCAACCGCTCCTTGTTTTCTTTTTTTGTTTTTTTATTCTGGGCCAGCTTTAGCTCTGAGGCCTCGCTACTGAAAACATCGATACAATGTTGCGGTCCGGCTGGCTTTCAGTCCGGCTGGTTTCTGGGGTTTTGTTTAGCTTCTTATTTGCAACATAGTACATAGTTGCTTAGAGTTGCAGCTGAGAGGCCGGCAATTTAGGCGGGGAACGTTGGAGTCCGCAGTCACTGGAGCAAGCAAGCCTCCCTGCTCGCTTCAGTGCATGGCTGCCGGCCGCCATCTTGGTTGTCAGTTAATTTGCATATACTCACTGATTAGCCAATGAAAAGGGTAGCAGTTGTACGCTAATTACTATGTTTCTCTTTTATTAGTGTAGATGATGAGTTTGAGCTGATACATATTAACTTCTCTAAACACTCACAAGGATTAACTGTGACCTTTGGTGTGGCCTGGTGGTGGGAAGTTGCAGTGAGTATTGTGGATTAGCTTAGAGCAGCGATTCTCAACCTGTGGATCATGACCCCTTTGTTGGTCGAACAACCCTTTCACAGGGGTCGTCTAACTCCATCCTGCATATCAGATATTTACATTACGATTCATAACAGTAGCAACATTACAGTTATGAAGTAGCAACAAAAATAATTTTATGGCTGGGTCACAACCTGAGGAACTGTATTTAAAGGGCCAGAAGGTTGAGAACCATTGGCTTAGAGGCTTGAGTGTTCATCTGTGAAACTCACTGAGCATGATGCAGAGGGCCATCGGGGCTGGGACTTGAGTGAAGGTTCAGTGAGACATGTTGGCAAGCATTCTCTGGTCAACACATGCTGAGTAATAACAAAGAGGCCAAGGAGAGGACTATGGGGGCGGGGGTGAGGGAATGCAGGTGTGAGCCAGTGTGGAAAAGAGTGATGTGCACTTGAAAAGGGAATGTGAATTGATGGCCACAGGACCTTGGTACTGACATAAGAGTGAGTGAGGGGAGAGTCCATTTCTGGTGTTGTCTGGATGATCCAATAAGGTGAATTTTAGGGTAATTGCCTGTCAAGTGGGATGTTTTGGAGCTCCACTTGAGTTACGAGCTTAGGTGCCATTTCACTAACCACCTGCCTTTTGTTGTTGGGGATGACACCCTAGTTAATACAACCCAGTCTTCAAAATCTCCACTGGCATGGGTAAGGGGTAAGAGATTATGAAGATGGTGAACTATAATTTTGGGAAAAAAGGTGATAGGAAACAATGTTTCCTTGCCACAGCAAATTTGCCTTACCTTGCAGTTGTGCTTCTGGGAATGAAGCTGTGTGAGAGAAGTGTTGTTTCAAAGAACTCTGTGCAACAGGTAGTGCAAAGTTATGGCCTCAGCACCTTGTGATTGGGTTTAAGAGGGTGAAGTGTGATGCCATGTTTTTGGTGTCTTTGAGAAACAATCTGGGGGTATTGCCTGACAAGACCAGTGTCAAATCACTCACACTATCTTTATCGCCAGCATCTCTCTTTAACATGTGGTTTCGACACTCAATCTGTTGATAAAAGTCAGTGAGGTGTATACGGGAGGTCCAGAGCTCAGGTATCTTTTATCTGCTCAAATGCCTTTATTATAGTGGGAAGACAAAATGTCAGTAGGAATATAAGAAGACAGTGGCTTTCATGGGATGAAGGCCTGGTATTTTCTCCGATGTGTAGAGTGTTCAGAGCAGATGGATGTGGCGGGTGGGCAGTATGACAGACTTAGAATCTTAGAAGTGAAGCTGATCTTGGGCTGTACTGTCCCTATTATGACAGGATATGAACTTTGAGGACGTTGCCATTGTCTTCTCTCAGGAGGAGTGGGAGCTCCTTGATGAGGCTCAGGGACTTCTCTACTGTGATGTGATGCTGGAAGTTTTTGCACTTGTGTCATCTGTAGGTAAGATTTCCACTTACTCCCAGTGTCATGAGGTGATGACCTCTGTTCCTTTATTCCTCAGGCATAGCTTTCTCTCTCCTGCAGCGACAAAATGGCCTCTGCTAATTTTCCCCACTGTCTTGTCAAATGTGCTGTGGCTGCCAGGAATGAGCTGGGTGGAGAGTCCTGAGTAAAGGACTCCACAAACATCCCTAACACCTGTTACATCAAAAAGTATAGGAAACAGAAAGTCAGGAATCTTCTAGTGAGTTTAATCGGTCCCAGCTTGCACTCACTCTTCATGGGAGGCTGACAGTGTCCATACGCATGGCTTCAACTTCTGCCTGCTTTCTCTACATAAAGGTCCGTTATGCCATGTTATGGTCTTTACTTACATGAACCATGGCCTGTTCTTGTGAGACATTCAGTCAGTTGTTTGTTATATTCTCTTCCCTGAATATGATAGCAAGCTGTGTTGCTCTGGCCCAGTGCTGACCACTCACCTCTTCATCACCTGTTCCTTTGCACTGGTGCCTCTGCAGTATTTTGCAACATTGACTTGCACATGTGTTATGAGGTGCACATACGTGCTAATTAGTCCTTGAAACCAGCTAATCCTTTATTGAATTTTACGTGGAGTAAGACCTAACCAATCTCTTTACAGCTCATCCCCGTCCCCAGCCGACAAGCCGTGCTGAATGCTGTTAGTTGAAGTATTAGCTGGAGACCCATATTCTCACCCATGTGGTGCTTGCCATGTTTGTGTCTTATTTCTGCTGAGGCCTCCCTATTTTGTGATCTTCATTAGCCCAGGAAGTTACAAGAGCCTCTTATTAACACTTCCTGCAAAGCTCTTATTTTCTGACAATTGCATGGAACCAACATGTGATGTGTAATACACTTTTGTAATGGGACTTCCCCTGTCACCACTGTCAACATTCATTTCCTCACCATTTCTCACTTTTCAGGTTGTTGGCATAAAATCTACGGTGATGAGGCCTGTTCTGATCAGAGTGTAGGAGAGTCACAGGTCAGAGCTTCTAAGACAGCTCCAGCCACCCAGAAGATCCCTCTGTGTAAATGGTGTTTCTCTGTGTTAAAAGGTATTTTGGACCTGACTGGGTTACATGCAGCAGACTTTGAGCAGAAAGCCTTTTGTAGTGACACATGTGTTGGACACTCCTGTTCCTGTGCAAACCCTCACCAGCAACAGAGGAATGAATGTGGTCAGGGGCCCTGGAAACAAGCTATGGAGAAGGCCTCCTTTGTGAGTAGGTCCAACTTCTTATCGTTGGTGCCTTCCACCAGCAGGGAGGTTGGGGAAGACTTGCAGTACAACTCAGAGCTTCTCCGGCACCAGGCCACTCTCAACACTGAGGACCTACACTGTGACAGTGAGGTTTCACAGCAATTTCTTGATGGAAATAGTCTTCACCAGTGGGGTGAATGTAAAAACGCTGCCAGCCACAACCTGAAAGTTGTTCAACATCAGGGTGTGTGTTCTGGAGAACTGGTTTATGAGTGTAACAAATGTAGGAAAGTGTTTAGACAACACTTAAACGTCATTCAAAATAAAGTCCACACTGGAGAAAAGCAGTATGAGTATAGTGAATGCAGGAAGTTCTTCAGAGAAAGAGCTGCACTCATTAAACACCTGAGAGTTCACACTGGAGAGAAGCCATATGAGTATAGACATTGTGAAAAATCCTTCAGCAATAAGTCTGCCCTCAAACTACACAACAGAGTTCACACAGAAGAAAAGCCATATAAATGCAGAGAATGTGGGATATCTTTTCATCAATGGACTCACCTCAATCTACATCTTAGAATTCACACTGGAGAGAACATGTATGAGTGTCCTGAACGTGGGAAAACTTTTACTTTAAAATCTCGTTTTATTAAACATCTGGGAGTTCACACTGGAGAGAAGCCATATAAGTGTACTGAATGTGGGAAGTCTTTTAGCCGAAAATATCACCTTATTAGACACCTACGAGTTCACAGTGGCGACAAGCCATATGAATGCTCTGATTGTGGAAAGTCCTTCAATGGTAACTCCACCCTCAAACAACACCAGAGAGTTCACACTGGAGAAAAGCCCTATAAGTGTACAGAATGTGGGGTGTCATTTCGAAAAAGGGCTCACCTCATTGTACACCAGAGAGTTCACACTGGAGAAAAACCATATGAGTGTAGACAATGTGGGGTGTCCTTTTGTCGAAGGGCTAACCTCACTGTACACCTCAGAGTTCACACTGGAGAGAAGCCATATGGATGTACTGAATGTGGGAAGTCTTTTAGCCATAAATCCAACCTTACAAGGCACCTGAGAGTTCACAGTGGCGACAAGCCATATGAGTGCTGTGAGTGTGGGAAGTCCTTCAGTGATAAGTCTATCCTCAAACAACACCAGGGTGTTCACACTGGAGAAAAGCTGTATAAATGTAGGGAATGTGGGATGTCCTTCCCTTGAAGGGCTCAGCTCACTAGACAGCACAGAGTTCACACTGGAGAGAAGTATTAAATGTGCAGGGAATTTTTTTTTCTCACTTAGTATAACAACACTGAAGGCAAGTTTTGAGACCTATTTTTCTGAATTTAAACCCCTTTTAATGGAACATGCACTCTGATATATTTCTCATCAGTTTCAAGTACAAGTGAGGCTTCAAGGAGCTGCACTATACTTGCTAACATGCCCAGACCTACTACCTGATTGATGTCACAGCGAGCATCTGTGGCTGAAGATATTTCACCTCTACCACCTGGCTCACCTGAAGAGTGTGCATCAGTCCCAGCCTCTGTGTGCTCAGGGGAAATGTATTCTGTGTTTTCACTTGTGCTTGAGAACATTATGATTACTTCAAGCTCTTGACAGGATCTTCCTTCCTTTCTGACTAGGGAATGCATTTGCCTCAGAGTTTGTCCAGACCACCCATCCTCAGCTAAGCAGTGCTACCACTTTCAGGGACATTGTGGGTCTCACATTATGGTTTTATGAATTGTTTTACTTTATAATTCACAAACCTGCAAATTGCTTACTGTCCTCTGTTCTGGTTTATGATCTTTAGTAAAGATGTTTTTTCTTTCGTAACTTTATTTTTTTAATTTCACTGTATGGATGATTTGATACAAAAGTTCTGATCTATTACCATGGCAAGATGAACAAATATGGTGGGCTCCCAAACTTTCTGTGCTTTGGAAAGCTATAATAATGTCAGAAAAGTCACTCTTTGTCCAAAAATGGCTTATTTTATACCACTGACCAAGGCAATGAAAGAAAGTTTGCATAACTTTGTGGTTCCAATTTGCAGCCTGGTGCCTCTAATGTTGGTGAGGTCAGTGTTCCACAAATGGAAGAGTCGTTTTTTGTGCTTCTGTCATTGTTCTCACATTATCCTCTGATGAGTTGTTTTATGTCCTAATTCACCACCCTACAAACTGCTTGCTGTCCTCTGTTCTGGCTTATGATCTTTTAGTAAAGGTGTTTTTTTATTTTGTACCTTTAATTTTGTGGGTTATATTCACTGCCTGGGATGATTTGAAAGGATAGTTGTGATCTGTCAGCATGGAGAGGGGAACAATATGGTGGGGTCCCAAACTCTATGCACATTGGAAGGCACATAATAATGGCAAAAATCCCTCTTTGGCCAATATTGCTTTATTTTCTATTGCTGAGCAAGGCCTTTAAGGAAAATCTGCATGACTTTTGGTTCTAATTTTGTAGCCTGGTGCCGTATTATTGGTGAGGTCAGTGATCACCCAGAAGAAGAGTCCTTTGTTGTGCTTCTGTGAACAATATTGATTATATTCTCTGTTCATACTATGTCTTACATACTGCAAAGGAGCCCTGAGCCATGTGGTGTGAAATATCACAGGCTGGTTTCATTTGTTGTAACACTGTAAAGTGCAACTAATATTGGGATAAACACTGTTTTCATAGTGAGTGGAGGAGACATCAGTATATAGGATGAAAATTGCCTCTTCTGAACATTATTCACAAATGACCCAGTCCTGTAGCTTCTTTGTTCTTTTTGTAGCTGAAGTGATTGGTTGCGAAAAGAATCTCATGTTTTTGGGGATTCCCTGGGCCCCTCTATGGTGTTCACCTCGAGGCTATCACAACAGGCAAAAACTCAAAGCTAAAGGAAGGATAATCGTATAATTAGTCCCAGGTTGTGTGTTTTGTGACAATTCAGCATTCCTGATCATTCTGATGGCAATAGCCTTCCCTTCTGGACAGTATTTTCTGCCACAGAGGCAACTATGATTCTCTCAAGAAATGAGGAGAGAGATGGTTGTGTCTATATAGAGTTGCCATCTTAATTTTCTAACAACAAAGGGATAGCTATGTTTTTATTTGGAACCACAATTAAGGCTTTACTTACTAGGTGTACTGGGTAATAATGGTGGATTTTGTAATCAAAGAAACCATGATAATTTCAAGAGAAATATCAAAAATGCTTTATTCAAAGTAATGTTCATCACTAGCTGCACACTTCATCTTTCAGGTAATTTGTGGATACTGTCCCAATAGAACTTTTTCTGTTTTTAGGCAAACTATTCAGAGACCCAATTTTCCATTTCTTCGTACGTGTTGAAGTGCTGCTCAAAAAGTGCGTGTGCCAGCGAGCGGAACAAGTGGTCATCTGAAGGAGCAAGGTGTGGTGTATATGGTGGTTGGGTTAATACTTTCCAGGCAAGATCTTTTAATGTGTCTTTAACTGGTTTTAAAGTGTGTGGTGATTCATTATCATAAAGCAAAATTACATTGTCGTGTTTTCTGGCACAGTCTGATCATTTTGTAATCAAAGCGTGGTTCATATTGATTATTTGTTGTTGGTAGCAATCAGTATTAACGGTTTCACCTGGTTTTAGAAGCTTATAATATATCCCATCTTCCTGATCCCACCAATTCTTTCCAAAGTGATTTAGCCTTGCAGTCGATGTTGATGGTTGACTTAGATCAACCCATGATTTTGTGCATTTGGGATGCTCAAAATGAATCCACTGTTCATCGCCAGTCACAATTCGATGCCAAAAAATACTTTCTTTTGTGCTGTTGAAGCAACATTTTACTGATGACTTTTCGGGTTTCCATTTTTCTTTCTTTCAGTTAATGTGGCACACATTTTCCTTCCCTTAAAATCTTTCCCATTGGTTGTAAACAATCAGAAATTGTTTGCTGAGCAACGTTTAATCTTTCTGCAAGTTGTTTGTGTTTGACACGCATCTTCATCCAATAATGCTTGTCATTTTTGGTCTTCAAACTTTTTCGGTTGACCTGGACGTTCTTTGTCTTTCACATTGAAATCATCACCTTTAAAGTGTTTGCACCAGCATTCACAAATATCTTGACATGGAGCATGTTCACCATAACTTCCTGAAGTATACAATAACTTTTTCTTCAAAATAAAGTAATGAATTAAAACTTTCCGAAAATGCCCTTTTTTTTTGCACAAAATTCGACATTTTTAAGTGTAAAAATATCTATGATGTTATCACCTTCAACAGATTTGACATGAAATTTTGAAGTTTGTTGTCAATACAACAAAATGGCATGCATATATATCAACATATATGCAACTCCATCTATTGAAAAAAAAATTGCATTATGAACTGGTACACCTAGTATGTATATGTATAATGGCCATGCAACCAAAAGCACTTTTCTAATGTGTACTATTTAGTGAGGCTGAACATATGGATAAAGCTCAGAAACTGTCAAATGTAAAATATGCTTCTCTGTTACCCATACCCATGGTGGGGCAAAAGTATGCTTACAGTTGTGAGTATGCAAACCCCAAAATTTATTTTCTCATTTTAACTACCTATATATATATATATATCCTATATAATAATAGACAAACATGGTAATTAGCCCTACCTCCGCTACCCTTCCCATTGGCTAATCAGGGCGATATGCAAATTAACTCCCAACCAAGATGGCGGCCGGCAGCCAGGCAGCTTGAAGTGAATGGGAGGCTTGCTTGCTTCAGTGACAGAGGAAGCCAACGTTCCCCACCTGCCACTGCCGGCCTCTGAGCTTGCTCTCTAAGAAACAATGTTACAAATATAGAAGCTAAACAAAACTCCAGTAATCTGCTTTCAGCCAGTCAGGCCTCAGAGCTGGAGTTGAAACAGTGTTTCGATTATAGAACTCAAACAAACCAGATGCCTGCTTTCAGCCAGCAGGACCGCAACAGTGTTACAATTATAGAACCCAAACAAACCCACAAACAAAGCCAGTACCTGCTTTCAGCAGCGGGAGCCAAGCCTCAGAGGTAAAGCTGGCCCAGAATTGAAAAAATAGAAAAAAGGGAGAGGTTGGGAGCTTCAGTCACCTGCCAGTCACCTGCCAGCCTGAAAACGGCCCTCAGCCAAACTGGCTAGGCACCCCAGTGGGGACCCCCGTGTGACCAGATACAAACAGCCATCATCCCCTCACCTAGGCTGGCCAGGGACCCAAGCGGGACCCCCACACTGATCCAGGACACCCTTCAGGGCAAACCAGCCGGCCCACACCCGTGCACCAGGCCTCTATCCTATATAGTAAAAGGGTAATATGCCTCCCGGCACCGGGATCAGCAGAGCCGCGAGGCCTCCTGGCCCCTGGAGCAGTGTGACGGGCCAGCGCCCAAACCCCCTGATCGCCCTGCGGCTCTGTGTGTGACAGGGTGCGGGGCCACAACCTCCCTATCCCCCCTGCTCTGTTCGTGATGGGAAGGCGCCCAACCCCCTGATCAGCCCTGCTCTGTGCCTGATAGGGGGGAGCTCCCCATCCCCCTGATCGCCCTGTGGCTCTGTGTGTGACTGGGTTCAGCACCCCAATCCCCTGATCCGCCCTGCTCTGTGTGTGACAGGGGGCGGTGCCCCAACTCCCCTACCGGCCCTATTCTGAGCGTGACTAGGGGTGGCATCGCAACCTCCTGATCCGCCCTGCTCTGTGCATGACGGGGTAGTGCCCCAACTCCCCAATCGGCCCTGCTCTGAGCCCGACCAGGGGCTGCACTTAGGGATTGGGCCTGCCCTCTGCCACCCGGGAGCAGGCCTAAGCCAGTAGGTCATTATCTCCCGAGGGGTTCCAGACTGGGAGAGGGCACAGGCCGGGCTGAAGGTCCCCCTTTCCCCCCTGAGTGCACAAATTTTTGTGCACCAGGCCTCTAGTTTGTGTATGTGTGTGTGTGTGTGTGTGTATATATATATATATATGGCTAATATGCAAAGTATCCCTTTGGGAGTTTGATCGATCCCTATGACATGCGCTGGCCATCAGAGGGTGGTGCAGAACGAAGGGAGACCCTGGCCAATAGTTGGCAGCTGAGGAAGGAAGGCCCAGATTGGCCCTGATCACAGGCCAGGCGTAGGGACCCTTCTCGTGCATGAATTTCATCAACCAGGACTTTAGTTTTATATATTTTAAAATGTATTTTTATTGATTTTTAGAGAGAAGGGCAGAGGGAGAGAAACATCAATCTCCTGCCTCCTGCACACCCACTACTGCAGATCCAGGCAGGCATGTGCCCTGATCTGGAATCAAACCAATGACCTTTCAGTGAACGTGATCATGCCCAATAATATAAGACACAGTAGCCATAAGACTTTATACTTTAATTAATTATTAACTGTTGTATTATTTTCAATAATAACAATTCTAAACCTAGTTTTACACACCCTGTATTTACCTCTTGCCCTTTTATACTCTTCTGGATTCTCTAGCCTTCCATACAGCCATTGATTTACTTCCTCTTATAATAGATTAGTTCATATTTTTCATAATTTTATAGGCACTATAAGATGTATAATTTTTAACAACTATGACTTCTTGCTACACAGGTATTTTTAGATTCAACAGTAATGTTTATGTAAATAGTTAATTTTTTATTGCTAATAATGTTGTATTCTATGGAAAACCACTTTATCAATTGATCTGTCAATTGTTTCAGTTATTTCCAAATTTGGGGTTTTATAAATAAAACTGCTGGAAATATTGCATTCAGTTCTTCCTACAGGTGTATGTTTTATTTATGTAACTGTTGCAGTGTCGGTGAATGTGTTATATTTTAAGATATGCAGATCTGTGATCTAAAATGG